TAAATACATTGACTGAAAAATTCAATAAGTCCTGTTTAAGTTTTTTTGTAAGTGAATGCATAGAGTTTTAGACAACCATAAAATAATATTCAGAATTCAATTGTATTTTTAAAATCTAGATTAAAATCATTTTTCGTGATTGTTATTCTATATTTTCACTCATAGTACATTAAACACTCATTATGACACAATGATCAAGGGTTAGCAATATGTACAGCCTGGATGTTTATCTTGCAAATTCCCACTATTAGCATACAATCATATAGAGACCAGTGCAAAGGGTAACATGCAAGGCAGCCTCACTGACTCTTAAAACTTTTTTTATCAAGAGGGTCAGTCCCAGATCGGTATGTTTGGCCAATTCTATAGAGTATTTTGCATTTTGGAGGAAGCTGGAGTGCCTGGAGATATCCCACAAATGTGATTTATGTTATATAATGATAATAAAACGTATTTATCCAGGAAAGTTTCACTGAGTCTCATGACTTACTCATGAGAGATCTGCATTTCGACAATTTCTTTTTAAAATTTGTGTTTTTTATATGAGGGAAAAGCACGAATACATATACAGAGACAATTTAGCAACATACTTGCTGTACTACCATCTACTACCACATCGTAGCCCTTCCTATTGGATGTCCCGGATATGTGATACCTGCAAGATTCCCACCCCTGTCTCCAAAGTGCTAGATTAACGGCACGCATCACAAACATGGTATTTGTCAACATGCATTTTCAATACAATTATTTCCCTTCTGTTTTTTTGGCAAACGCAATTTTACCCATTATATACACATTTATATTAATAACGACAAAGAGGCCCATTTGAGCCATTTCATTACTGTTTTGCTCAGTGCTGTTTAGCAATCAACTATAAAGAGTGGCATAATGCATGAGGGGGCGGTGTGACCAGAACCATATCAGGCCACCTTCATCTCTTCTGTGCTGACGGTTACACACCATGCCAGGCACTCCCTTAAGACTGAGTCGACCTAGGAGGTGGGCCTGGAACAAGTTCCGACATAGCTTACAGTGGTTAGCTGTGGCTGAAAATTTAACTCAGGTAGCTGAGTTTCCAGCACAGTATGCCACACACCACACCATTGGTCCCTAACTATTCAGTTACACACGTAGCGGCATTGTTACGCGCAACATGTATACTTACCTGCGAAGCAGTATTGCATGAGTCACGGCAACAATAACCGTTGACCAGGGGTGAGGGGGCCAGAGCCCACTGAGGGAGAGGGCTGGGGGGGCCAACGGTTGGACCCAGACCCTCTCGAGACAGGACGGCTGGGAGAGGAAGGATATAAAGGGCAGCAGCAGCTCTCTCAGCGTGAGTCAGTCCGCACTCACATCAAGACTCAAGACATCGAGATAGTGCCCCCTGGGACTTCCGACCTCTGGCCCTTGTCAGTGCCAGGTCCGAACTTACCCAGTGGCGGTACCCGTTAAGCGGAGTATAGTGTGAGGAGGGCACACTAAGCGTGAGGACGCATCATCCTCTAGGCTATCGGGTGGGAGAGGCCTTCACCTCTCTGTGTTAGGCACGTTCTCTGACGTTAGAGTAAATAAACAGTGTTGCCTACGAAGAAGTCTCTGCCTCCTTTGTCAACACTACACATGTATACGTTCTAAAACATTCTCTGCAACTCTGTTTTCTTATGAAAACTGCTAAATCCTGAAATTCTACGAATGTTGCTGGAATGTTTTGTCTTTACAAACACCAGCAAAAGGCATTTTTGAATGGGGTTCTTTCAGGACACGACCTAAATTGTATTGGCACACCTCAGGGGCTCCATTTATTTTATTCTTCCTCCTTTTATCTGTGTAGATCCATCACCTGATGCCATAAAGACTGTAGTGGTTACGAGCACACATGACAGAGGGTACTTTTGTATTTTACCAAAGCTGTTAGCTGTGCTGTCAGGCAGCTTTACCTTAATATCATCAATACTCAAATAATGACATGCTTTCGTTTCTTTCTCTTATTGTTTTTTTACGTGACAGAAACACAGCCCTACTATAATTGAAGCGGTCACATTTTCTAATGTAAGGAATCTGTAAATACGTTAAGTCACTTTAGATATGCCGCTGGGAACCTTTTAGAGATGCCTGTATCTATTTGTGATTTTTTTTTGGTACGGGTCTACTTGTTAATTTGGCTGGTGGCAGTTCTGTAGTTAAAGCATTTGATAAAAAAATGTAAGGTGGAGAATTATCTTGGCCAGGGGTCGACCCATCCCTTTGGGCTCGATGAAATTAATGAAACTTTCTAGGAATGCAACAGTGGTCGTCCTATGAAAATACTGGCCCTGCCATAGAAATGTGGAATCCCAACTATTGTCCGAGAGCCTCTGATGGATATAAGTGCAGACCTTGATTGGCTTGTTTAAGCAGGAAGTCAATTTTACTTTGATCTGAAAGAATATTATATGATGGTTCATCAGCTGATTTTAGGATAGCAAGCATGCACATGATTCAGCACATAATCTGTAAAATATAAGTCTTCAGCCATTCTCAATCCACGAATGGATGAAGGCCTTCCCACGTCATGTTGAGTAGGGTAGTTTTTAACCATACTTAAACCATGCTGGCTATTGTGTAATGTAAAGCTTCTGCGGCCGTCTGGAATGCTCTTTCTTCCGATATTAGGAAGCCACTGGAGCTATGCACTTTTAAATCATCCAGATTTAAAATTCATTTCTTTACAACTCCTTTTTCTGTTTAGTTTGTTTTCCTTCCCTCGCACCTCCGATTAGCACGGTTGGCTATGTACGGTGAGAAAGAAGTTCAACATACATGCATACTCCACCACAAGCTCAAATGTAACTACTTTCTGTATGACTACTTAGTGTACAGACATGTTTATGCACAAGTAAGCAGCGATATTGCATAACGACGTGTAAATTATTTCTGCAACAGCTAACATTCACCTATTGATCCCATAATCAACTGATTATTGGATTAATTATACAATAAAGTCTTTGTGAGGACTGAAGGCGTTAAACAATATAGTAATTTCACATTTTTTTGTGAATAAAAGCCTTAGCGGGTGCTGAGTTTCATTAGATGCTTCAAATAATGATCTTTGGTTGTCAGAAGATATATTTTTTAAAAATCTCTACGGGCACTGTATGTGCACAACAGTGCCTAAAATAAGTGTGAGGTCGATGGTGAGGGGGCAGGAACTGTCTCGGCTTCTTTCTCAATGTACGGTGGAGGAGGATTTTGTCGGTTTTAAAATGTGTTTTATTGTGCAGTGCAAGAGAGAGAAAGAGTGATGTGCAGGGGAGAGAGGAATTTCGCAGCCCGCCACTCGAATGGTGACATCCTTCAGACAGCTGATTTATATTTTGCTTCTTTTTTTATAACCATCATATGCCGATTCAGTTTTCAGAGGCACGTGATGAGGTGACAGATGTAATTCTAACATTCTCACAGTCATGAGGACATCACATCATTTATTACTATAATGAGCCAAGAATGTCTGTGTGTCCCGTGCGTGACGTCACTCCACGTCGGCCAGCCCCCCTTATTAATAATCATGAGTGGGTGACGTCAATACACATGTAGCACTAACCCCCCCTCCTCAGTAATAATCATGAGCAGGTGACGTCACTCCATATCGAACAGCACCCCACATAAATAATCATGAAGAGGTGACGTCTTCCAAATGGACACCCCCCCCTGTTATTAATAATAATTAGCGGGTGACGTCACTCCACATGGGGGGGGGGGCGGCGAGGCGCCTCCTCCCCCCTACTCAGCATCAAAGGCAGAACCCTCACGTCACGTGATCTCCGCAACGCTATTGAGACATCAAAGTAAAAAGGACGTCATGATGAACAAGGGTTTATAACCTTTACATGAAACAAGTCTGTGTCACCGCGGCCTTACAAATTGCACACGAATGGATGGAATTAATATAACACGTCACGGTCTGCTTTTCGCTTGCAAGTTTCAGATTTACTGAAATACACCCGTCCTTGGACGGGCAAAAAGCTAGTGTGAGATAACAGCTCGAGCAGATGATGCCACACAACTACATTTAGAATCACTTTCATAGTCCTCTATCAAGCAAAAGAAGATGTCACTCCATAATTTTCTGTAAAGATAGTTTGTTACATTGATAATGAACATATTACTCAACGGAACTGGGCTGGGCCAAATTTTGCAGTGAAACAAATGTTTTGTTATTCTTGGTTCTTTCGGTAAAGTCACCACCGCGTAGAAGGGAAACAATAAAATAATAAAAATATAAAACAATAAAATTCTCACGACGTTTCGACTGCAACACATTCAATCATCATCAGGTGTGAAAACCACAGCAAGAAATTTGTATTGTTTTATATTTTTATTATTTTATTGTTTCCCTTCAACGTGACTTTACCGAAAGAACCAAGAATATGAATCCCTGCAGTCACGAAAACTTTAAATCAAAATTTTAATGTTTTGTTATTTCATGAATCATTGGTGACCATGCTGAGATCATCAATGCACTACACCCAAGAACCGAGTTTAATCACAGTTACTGCCAACTCGAAAATCTGACCTCTGAGGCACCCACTTACATATTTATTTAAATTATCTTTAACTTGGGGTGTTTTGAGAGCTCAATTGTAAGCTGGCCGACTTTATCCAATAACTCTTGAACTGTAGAAGTCAACATCCTACTCAGGGCTAACTCAGCCCATTATACCTTGGGGGTTGATGAACTGAAATGAGCATTGCCGAGTGGGAAGGCAAAATTGTTAAATGAACAGACTGGCCCATTCCATAAGAATGTGGAATTATCGATGTGAGGTATGGTCTTTAATAGAGATGAGAACCACCCCAATATTTATTTGAGCAGAAGACATTTGCGAAATCATAAAATATATTTTCTCCTCAGACTTAATAATATCGCAATTCCACACTTACAATTTTAGAACATAACTAACATTTATTTCATATCCACAACATTTTTTTGTTAGATCCCGTAAATACAATTGTGCCATTAAACCTGCCACCACCCGACACAGCCAATTTTATTTCATATTTTTATATAAAAAAAAATAATGGACAAAAAGACATCTTCGCCATTTCCGTCACCACTTCCTTCAATTAAAAAGGTTGTTTGTGCCTCGCCACTCTTGGTGGCTGTGAACCGGGAGTAGAAATGCTACATTATTGCGCCAGGGACAAGCCTCTGCAATGCAATCACTATTGATTTCCCACAAATGTTGCTAATTTTATTGACCAAGTGAAACCCAAGACCATGACTTGAACTCAGGAAAACATATATCAGAGGCTAAAGTATTGGGCAATGGCCATTTCGCAGAGCTGAGGAGGCATTTTTGTCAATATCTGTCAATGCTTTCTCTGCTATATATATTTTGTATGTGATATTTTGTGGACCATAGAATTGTTCGTGACAGCTGCGGTGAGGTATTTTCAATCTGTACCTATACACAGCTGTGCATGGATTCGATTAATTTGTATTCCGTTTTTGTAAAATACAACAAATATCCACCTCATTGAAGAGAAATAAATACTAAAGTCACAGCTATATTTATCATTATATTTATTGGGGTCAGTGTGTACAAGAACCACCCCAGGCAACAAACGCAATTACGTACAGCATTCACCACTAAATGACGATGGCGTCACAGTAGCATTCTATGTTGACTTGGTGCTCTTTACAACCACACGCATTAAAGGCTTATTGACAGATGGTCAAAGGACAAACCCATGTGCTATTGTTGGATTTGCAGGCCAACGTGGGCCAATTTGTACACCAACTGAGGCCTCCACAACCCCACTTGCTGCCGAAACACCGCCTGGCTCTTTGTTTACTCGGCGCATTACTCCTCCACCGCCTGTTGTTATTGGAGGGCAGCCACCACTGTCAACCCAGTGGCATCCTCCATAAGCATCTTCTACAGATGCCGGTCCTTAAACTGCCAGTGCCAGCCGGTGGCAAATCCACTAGCCCAGCTACAAGTCCACTTCACAAACATAACACCTCTCTCTCTCTCTCTGCCTTGTATAATGTTTGTCCATTCCCCGCAGGAGCTGCTGGATTATGCAAGCAAATGGGAAAGTGTGGTCGTTAACCTCAGATCAGGATGTAAACACGTGACCTCCAAACTGCGAGTCAAGTGCTCTGCCAGAGCACCAACCAGCTGGTATATTAATTCGTTTTTTTTACAATTAATGCAATTGGGTGGAGCGATGGTGCATTGGTTCAGGCATTTTGCTGTGGACCTGACGACCTGCGTCTAGTTTCTGGACATAGTTAACATCAGTGGTGAGTGACATCTGAATCAGTCCAAACCCCCCCCCTCCCCACAACCCCTTTCATGACCTCAGGGGTCACAACATTTAAATGAGCACTTCTGCATATCCATGACTCTTGGTAATATTCATTTGATGAAACACGTCTGCAAAATGTCCCAAGTAAATGCTATTTTGCTGTTACTCTTGCTTTGAGGAAGCCATGCACCCTGAGAAAATGAGCCTTCTAAACCAGCTGCCGTGCCGTCCATTGCCGCTCAGTCTGCGCAGGTATCGACATGGCCGTGCCCGCAGCAGGTGCTCCTTGGCGGGGCGCGGCACGGTGACGGCTCGCTCACGGCTCTCATCAGAGCCGCTGGCACCAAGCACCTCCACGTCGTCGCCAGGCCCATGGACGTACAGCTGGAACCAAAGAGAAGCAAAGGGTCACCCTGATGGATTCGGCTCAATTTACTCTTTGCAAAGTACACGTATTCCTAATGTCACAATTCATACTGTCAAGAAAAGCAAAGGGGCTTGGGCAGGACACGTTGCTAGAAGGGATGATGACCGGTGGCCAAGATTAGTGATGGGGTGGCAGCCAAGGAATGGAATGCATCCAAGTGGACATCTACCGGGGAAGCGGAGCGATGAAATCCGCGTGTGTGCCGGTGCTGGGTGGATTGTTGCGTCGCAGAACTATCAGCGATACTGATGACTTGGGGAGCCTTTATCTAGTAGTGGATTGATTTTTGCTGAAGATGATTAATGTTCACAACGTTATGGGTGCCATCTGCATGAACGTGCATACATCATGTCTAGCACTGGCAATTCTAATAATCGCACCAAGGTATACAAAAAAGGAATATGAATAACGAGCAGAGACATTAATATCCTATTCTTTGGGTCTTTCGGTAAAGCTACGTAGATAGAAATAATTATCAAAATAATAACAATATCACGACGTTTCGATCGCAACACAAGTAATCGTCTTCAGGTGAAAAAAGCCTAGTTTAAAAATGGCAATGCTGAAAATACAATACAGTTTCAAGTGTACCTGCTCCTGAGGCTTCTGGTAAGTGCAGTTATCCCCCGCATCTTGCATTTCTTGCTGCTTGAAAAGCCTGGATTGCTGCTTGACTTCAGAATAAATATCATGACGAGGTTCGGTGCTACCATCCCAGTGGCTTTTATCAATTTTATTGGGCCATTCACAATTGTCAATCACATAATCCTCCAGGCTGTCTGTTGCCGTGCTTCTAAAGGGTTTAAATAAGTTGTCCAAGCTGGCCTCAGCTTGTGAAAACTCCTCATCGGTTTGCTGGAGGACTGCATCGATATCATCGACCGTATCAATGATCCATTTATGGAAGTGAGTGACAGCCCGGTCAAAGCTATCCAATGTGTCCTATGGGGGAAAAAAAAAATGTTTAACGTGTTTATGAATTACATGTAATTTGCAATCAGGCTTGAGAGTCATTACCTGATCTGAACATGTTATAATATTAACAATAACCCTTACAGTATCAACATTCCTTGAGCATCCAGTCATGTCAATGTATGTACATAAAAAATCTTCATGTTATATTTTTTTTAGCAATTCGACGTTATATTGTTAATGGTGCTATCAGCATCATGTCATTGGACAATTGTGAAATTATTACACTATGTAACACAATTTTTGTTCTTGGGTACTAAGTGTTATTTTTTAATTGCTTATGCCTAAAAAGTATAGAAAATGGCTATTATTCCCCACAAACTTTGCTTTGTGAGGGAGCTCTACTACTCCACGCTACTCAGACAACTTACTAAATTAAACTATTAAAACATTTTTTTTTACATTACCAGGTAAGGCCCGCTGAGCTATACGGCTCTCTTTCAGAAGCGACCTGGGTCCAAAATGATAGCTCAACAAAGTGACTTAACATGTTGAAATGCGTAGCAGCCAAATGTTCGGAACGCATGTTAATTATAAACGTGGCGGAAAAAACCGGAGGACCCGAATAAATCCACGCGACCACGGAGAGAGACGTGCAGACTTCAAATAGACAGGCGTCATTGTTCATAAAGAATTAAAGCTTTCGTGACTGCATAAATTACTCATTGTTTTTTTTTCGGTAAAGTCACGTATGTAGAAATACCATAAAATGATATTAAAATTATATTGTTTTAATATAATTTGATGGTATTTCTACATACGTGACTTTACCAATGAGTAGGCGTCATAGTTAATAGTTCCATTTATTTTGGTATAGCCCTGTGAGCCATTCGGCTCTTGAATCGGGTGCAACCGCAACAAACAACAAACATGAACAAGAAAACATCTTAAAGTGACTATGTGTGACTGTGCAAACAGAAAATCCAGGAAAAAACATCAAAATATTCATGAAATAGCACCGTACACCAACGCTGTGTGCAAAAAATCCCAGTGGGATGCAAGTCAAACAACAACAACCACAAGACAACTAAGATTAAGGCCATCAGTCTAACTCCGTACTAAAATAAACAAAAACATGGCCAAACCAAAAAACGTTTTCGAAATCACCAAAATAAAACCATAAATGCAATGTAACAGTGATCATAGGGACTGTGACCGTCAGGGGTCGGGATCGAATCCCACGCACGCCTCTATACCAGGCGAGGCAGTTGGCATCTCTCCACCGCGGCGCCCCAGCTTGGTAAGAGGTGGTAGTCCCCACACTCTACATCACTACACGCGACCTGCCGATTGCCCGTGGTGGACTCGTACTGCTGGGTGGACAGAGGCGGGGGATATTTAAGAAGCTTGCTCATTGTTTCAACTGCCGCGCAAACTGGCGACCTCTGGATTGCAAATCCAGTGGGCTAACCATCACACCTCATCGCCGTTAACAAAAACAACGATGTGATTTTTTTTTTAAATCTATATAGCGCCGTTAACGCCTGAGCGCTTTACATCGCCGCGAGCTGGCAATAAGGTCTTTCAGTAGAGAACAGTGAAACAACTTGAGTAACTTGCAGGCTACTTTTGAATTTTAACAAATTAGGCACGAGAAATGGCCTATCCTTGCCCATCACGTCTGGGGGCGGGTGGGGGGGATATTTAAAGTCATGGGCCATGAAGTGTTCACGTGCCAGAGTCGGTCGGTAGCCACTCACCTCCGCGGGTGTCTCAGTCACTCCCGGTTTCCTCCTGGGAGGCAAGTTGAGTTCAAACGCCCCCGTAGTCTTCACGTTGCATTCTCCCATTGTTATTCAAGCGAGAGACGTGTTAATAAGTCACGAGACGCACCTTTTTGCGTGCAATTATTTTCAAATCACTCGTGCGTTCGTGGTCACGTCACAAGGATAACTTTAAGAGGGTGACGTGGCTTCCCCCTCCTGTCACACATTTACACGCATTATATAACCACGGTGCTTATGGAAATGACCACACTGCACTGAAGGGTGGCTTGAGTCGAGCCCTAACCACAGTTAACCACAGTTCGTGGCCGTAATCCCAATGACCCGCCTGTCCTAACGTCGGGTCCTCACCCGAGCGATCAATAAGTTACCCAACAAAACTTTCTCTCTCGAAAGAGCGCAACTCAATTGAATACAACTGCTTTGTCCATCCGCGCGAGCAGATGCACAATAAGGAAATTACAATTGAGGTATGTCGCCACAAATCGCTGCGCCGATGGCTTTAGAGTCGAGTCCGTTTCTACCGTCAGCAACCGCCAAGTAAACATTCCAACGTTGGGCAAAAACTCTGGCGTGTGGTTGGAACCGTTGGACCAACGTTGGACCAACGTTGGACCAACGTTGGACCAACGTTGGCCCCAACGTTGGCCCCAACTTTCCACGTTCCATGGGCAGTTGCGCAACTGCCCACAACTGAATTTTTGATTTAAAGCTTTCGTGACTGCAGGGATTCATATTCTTGATTCTTTCGGTAAAGTCACCACGTAGAAGGGAAACAATAAAATAATACAAATATAAAAAAATAAAATTCTCACGACGTTTCGGCTGCAACACAAGCAATCATCATCAGGTGTGAAAACCACAGCAAGAAATTAGTATTGTTTTATATTTTTATTATTTTATTGTTTCCCTTCTACGTGGCTTTACCGAAAGAACCAAGAATATAAATATGCCCACAACTGGTTATAAGCATCCACATAGGAGCGATTCAGTTGCATGCAAAGAAAATACAGCAGCAGAACACTGCCTTATATCCCAGCCGCAGGTGACTCACACCTGCCCTTACTTTAAAACACAGCCAAACTCACGCGTAATTATCACACGGACCTTTCAGTTCATGGAGAACAACCTCGATATGCAGAATATACGCCCGTCTGTTAATCAAACATTATAAACTGTATATTCTTGGTTCTTTCGGTAAAGTCACGTAGAAGGGAAACAATAAAATAATAAAAATTTAAAACAATATATAAACTGCTTGCGAATGTGTTATCCGGAGCTTTGATATGCTGATATATTTTTAGCCCAATAAGAGTAATTCTGATTTATTTACACCTCATTTATTAACATTTATTTTACCCATTTGTAGACCAGTGTTGCGAAGGGATGGCTCCCACTGGGGGCTCACCTTAGTTCAGACTGTCGCAGAGTAAAGCAATGGTTGACATGTTATGCTGTAGAGGCGTTTAAGCGCCATATAAATACGAATCGTTATACTGTTCAATTGTTAAACTGTCTTAGTCCTCTCGGCTGTTCTGGGCAAACTCTGTTTCTTCGATTTTGATTGGCCACAATGCCTTTATCTCTGCGATTAAAAATGCAGTATATATTTGGTGCACCAGCACAAACAATAATAACACAAACTCAACACGGGCGTCAATAGCACTATGCCCTTAAAAGCAAAATATATAATATGCGACGTTTCGGGCAATGGGCCTTCTTCATATCACGGCTTGCACCACGTACTCAGGTACTCCCTTTGGCACCATCCAGCGCTGTGATAGCGCCAAACCGAAATCCAGAAAGAGCAAAAAATGGCAAGGATCCAAGTCGTACCACAAAGTACGACAAAGGGGGCCCCCCCGCCCAACTCGCTTCCCCTAGCCCCCCCCCCACTCGCGTTCTCCCCCAACGCCCCCCCCCCCCCCACTCGGCCCCCTCGCACATCCCCACCCACGGGCGGGACTCCCAGAGCCCACTGCCTACCCCTCCCTACGCGCTGGCTGGCACGTGGGCTGCGGCCAATCAAAACGCGCGCTAGTCGGTGGGGTGCGCGAGAGTGGGGAGCGGCTGTGAGTTTGGGGTGTGGCCGTGAGTTGGGGGGGGGGGGGTCGCTTTGTGAGACTTTGCCGTACGGTGCGTCCTCGCTTAACGCGTGCTCACACAACGCGCGTTCGCAATGACGCGGTTCTTCCATTACGGAGCACTTTTCGCACAACGCGGAACGCGTGCCGTTACAACGGAGAACGCTTACCCCGTGACAATGCGGTTTCTAAACGATCGACGACGAACTGCTTTTATGAGTTGCGTGTTTGAGCGCTACAGTATGCGTAATGATATTATAACGCGGCAGCGTAGCCTCTTGTTATTTGTCCCACCATGTTACCGTGTGTGTGTACATCGTATCTCGCCAAACGTTATCGTTACATCGTTGATGGTGAAATCGTTTTCGCTAAACGCATGTTTCGCTTAACGCGGCACTTTTCAGGAACACATCTACCGTGTTAAACGAGGGCTTCCGGTACTTTGCGGTAATTAGTAGGACCAACAGGGCAACTCTAGTGGAAAACTAATTTCTTTGGAACTGCTGTTTGTATTCAGTTCGTTGTCCTTCCCCCACACCTCTGATTAGCACGGTTGGCTACGTACGGTGCGAAAGAAGTTCAACATACATACATAGTGGAAGCTAAGAGTGGCAGAGGACGATCGACGAATAGATGGGCTGATACAGCAGAGCAGACCCGAAAATGGGGGGGGGGGGGGGAAATTACATGGTTGGACACATTAAGCAACAGATGAGTCTATGTTGATCGCCAACACATGACGCGCTGTCGGATGGTGGTGGATATATCGTGCTCCGTGAAGGGGCTGGATGGGAAACGCGAGACGGCTGTAGGCAGCAACATGACGAACATTGCGTATAGCAGCATCCTTATTGCAGCCATCACGCACAAAGCCCACGTGTTCTCACTTCACGTTAATGCCCACGCGGAGAGGTGAGAGGTGAATGAGTCACCGCTTTGCGTGACTCGCACCCACCATGTGAACGTGGACTTTTCACCACTGGCCCAAGGCTGTACATGGGAGATGAGCACCGCCTCAATGACTATACGTGAGCTGGAAACGGTGACCGTACACGTGCATGAAACGGCATCGTTTGTCTGGCTTCAACTTCCATTCTATAATGCGCTGCAAGCAGACTTCTGGGAAATCAGGTGACCCGCATCTTGCGTGGTGGACATGGTTGCTCGGGAAATCATTAATTCTCATTGCCACTCGTCAGAGCTGTTTAACCAAACGTCTATCAGAGTGATGGACATTTTGTCCGTTGTTATATCGGACCGTCTTCCGAGGGTTGATAACACGGGTACAGCCCTGTGGAAAATCGACATCGGTTCCCCTTTTGTGATAGAGCATCACAATAGGAAAGTGGAGTTTCCACTGCTGACTCATGCATGGATTTTGAATAAAGAACCACTCTTGAGGCACTTTACTTGCATACTACACAGCTGTACATGCGCACGCTTATGAAGATCGTTCATCTGATAATAAACTCAGGTGGTGAATCCCAAACAAAGACATGGCACTCTTCATATAAAGCAGGTACTTTGAATTGCTAATCTTTCAGGAGCTGCCGTTGGCTGCCACTCGTGGGTTCCGTGGCAGTGAGAACGTCGCAGTCAAAACAACGTCGCTTTTAAGAGGCACAGACGGCTCATGGCCTACCGAGGATTCCAGCCCGCACCCGAGCTGTAACTCGTTTATGCACAAGGAAGAACCCAGGCTTGGGACATCTGTCCCCTGCTTATGTGAGTGTCAGGGCTGAAGCGTTCCAATAGCAGCTGACCCCCTTTGCAGACATGTGGCTATGATGGCACGGCAAATGCCTCTGCTTTGCAGCACAGACGTTACTGGGTGGCTCTCTCGGGGCTCAAATCCCTGTCGGAGGCAACTGAGCTGACTACGCTCAATTGCTTTGACCTGAATTTCTTGATTCGAATCCAGGTTTCAGCCGTCTCTGATTAGCCCAGATGTTCACGTGCAATGAGTTGACGTTTCAGCACGCTCACCGATGACCGCACAAAATATAGGATGGACATTTGTTTTTTTTAATTCAGCAGTGACACAGTGGCTGGTAAACTGCACCATGTAAGTGGCCACCTGAGTTCAATTCCCAGCCACAGCTAACATCAGTGGTGAAACTAGTCCTCCCCCACCACCCACTTCACTAACCTGCACCGACCCAGTTGGTCAAGTATGGTGCAACGACTTCTATGACCCAACATGACCCTTGATCCAGGCCTGTAAACTATTACTCCGGCTTTGAGAATTACATTAAACAAACAGCACAGGTTACAGATAATGTGTCGGCTGAGAGAAGGCTGTTGAAGTGACCGCGGTACAATACAATTCGCTCTACATTTTCTATATTGCATCTGTATAGCAGCTGTGAGGCACACGACGCTGTACAGAATATACTGTACAGACATAGTGGGACATGCATCACTGAGAAAAATGAGGCACATTCACGCTGTATATAACTTTATTTATTTACCAGGTAAGGCCCACTGAACTATATAGCTCTTTTTCACAAGCGACCTGGCCACAAACGATAGCTCAATTGAGTAGCTTGTCATGTGGATGTGTATTGCAGACAAATGCTCTAAACACATGTTTATAAATGTGGAGTGGAAGCATTTTTTTTCGAAGCTAAATCAGATTTTTTGTAAAAAAAACTGTTTCCGATCAACCATGGACAACAACGCTCGTTTTACCTTGCACTACTCTCAATAGAGGGAAAACACCATTTGAAGATGTTATTACAAATTCTGCAATGAAAAAATCTCGAAAAGTTAATCTCCGGTGTTAATTTCTCTAAGCTTATGAAAACAAATTTGCCATGACTCTGCCTCTGTATATACACTTTGCCTATTCTTGCTTTAGAAATATATTTATTCAAGAAGATATATTGGTTGCATTAATTTGATCATACAAATAAAAAAACACGGTAAAAAATTCGTAGACACTGTGCCTATTGGATAATACGGCCCTGCTTCTTACAGCTCGTCCTTATGAACCCATACCTGCCTCAAACACGTCTTTTAACATTCTTCCAAAGCGCTTCATGCAGTCCATCGGAGAACCTGTCCTGATAATACAATGTATATCTTGACCTACTGGCAACCTATATATGATAAACCATTTCGGGTCTTAATTGATTGTTCACGCTTACGGTGGCTTTCAGACAGCATACATTAATTTTTCGTCTCCCCCTTCCTCTTTTCCGAACATAGATGGACTCGTCCATCTAAACAAACTATCAAATCGCTATCCGTGGTGCTAACGTTTAAAAATAAATAAATACTAACCGCCACTTCTTTCAAATGTTCTTGCCGTTGGTTTTCACACCT